TTCCGGGTTTGGATAGAGACAGTCGGTTGGGCCCATACATCCAGTGGACACATCTTCAGGTGGGCACTGGTAGCCAGGAATGGGTCCTCCTATTTGTTACAATATTGTTAGGATTAATAAGTTAATTAAAATTTAATACAAATTAATACCTGCATTAATGAGGGTAAATGAGACAGCAATAATAACTATGCAACAAGTTAATTTGAGCATTTTGGCTAATAGTCTGTCCAACTCTTTGTTCATTAATTTTTATACATTTTGCTTATCACTGATTATGAGGTAAATGAATAGTAATGCGATAGTTATTTATGAATTAATTGCCGGATGATTACGCGGTTAGCATTAATCAGTAATAATAAAAATCCAGATATATTTCACATGATTTACATGAATTACAATTCTGTTAGAAATGACAGAATATTTAGTTTTTTGGGAACTATTAAAGTTTTCTAAAATAGTTTTGAAAACTTTTGCATAGATCATAAAGTACCGTGATTATAATTATTTTATTAATATTATAATAAACATAACTTCAAAAGAAATGCGCTAATAATATCTTGACAACCAATGTAATTACATTTTAATAGTTTGTATTTTGTTATTTATTGATAACTAAAATATTTGGAAATGTCTCAAATGATGTGACTTTGTTTAGATATGTTTATATTGTTTTTGATAAAACTGAAATGCTTGTACAATTCTTAATTAATTAATTAGCACTCTCAATTCATAATTTATTACACATTTATTAAAAGTATTTCATTTATTGTAGCAATTCATACAGTATTGTTAACTCATTAATTGTTCAGTTTAATTTATTGCTAGTAGTAAACAGTTGCTTAATGAAATTATATTAAAATGTATACAAAATTAAACCTATTCAAATCTTAATGTTTTTAAAAAATGATTTACAATTAAAGCTTTTGCTTAAAAACCGTTTTATTTCTAAACTACTATTTTTATTTTATAACATGATTATAATTTTTCCATTTAAACATTTTGCTTATAATAATTGACTAGAATAATCTTATAAAAAGTTAATTTAAATAAAAATTTTTAAATACATTAAATCATAAATAGGTGGTACGGCATCCAGTTCCTTTATTGGCACGTGGCGTTTTGTGGCCAATCGCACTCCTTTGTGTTATCATTCCACTTGAGTTCTGCGGGACAGGGCATCACAACCGGAGTTCCCGATTGATTGCCCGGATTGACAGTACACTGAATGAAAGTATTGCAGTTCTCGGGGTTAGTGTAGAGACAGTCTTTGGGTCCCATACACAGTGTGTTTACGATGTCCTCTCGGGGGCACTGGAAAGGAGGTCTGGATGTGGTTGGAGCCGGTGTTGGGGCTTCAGTTGGTGGCTCTGTGGGTGGTTCTGTTGGGGGTTCTGTTGGGGGTT